AACAACTGGATAGACAATAGCCTGTTACAGGTCAACTCACATCTAACAACTGGATAGACATGGGACACTAGCCCGTCACAGATTAACTAACAACTGGATAGACAATAGCCTGTTACAGGTCAACTCACAACTAACAACTGGATAGACATGGGACACTAGCCCATCACAGATTAACTCACAACTAGATAGACACTAGCCTGTCACAGGTTAACCCACAACTATTAGGTACATTTAATAATATATCCATCTGGAAGATTAGGTTCATTTCGTTTGTTTCTTTAATAAGTTTGATGTGTGTATCAAGATCTATCCAAACCTATAAATCTGAAACAAGGTTTTCTAGTGCCAATCTGGTTGATACAAATAATAAGAGTTTTTTAACAGCGACCTACAGACATGTTTAAGAAGAAATCATTGTATTTAATATAGCTTCCATACTTGGGACTTAAATTGGTTTGTTTGTTTGTAATTGTGCACAAAGCTACACAAGGGCTATCTGTGCTCTGCCCACCACGGGTATCGAAACCCGGATTCTAGCGTTGTAAGTCCGCAGACATACCGCTGTGCCACTGGGGGGCACTTAAATTGGTACTATTCTTACATTCCAAAATTTCCTCAAATTAGTTTGAGAACAATAATAATAGCGAAATTTGTCTGTAGTTACCACAACCGTTATTTATAGTTTCTAGTGTTAGTACTATAGGTGTAGTAACTATTTCTCGAATTACACACCTAGTCCTGCATAGTTCCAGTTGTACCCATCATTTACATCAATCTAACAATTGGTGTTGTCCATGTTACTTTTACTCGTTTAAAAAGTGGCACTAGGTGTACGACAGATATTTTTATGAAATAAGCAAAACGAAGAATTGAGCATTGCAACTGTATGTTTACGTGCCGTATATTACGGATTAAAGCTCCTACTAGTGGTGTTCTACACTAACAGAACAGGTCACTCCTCATTGATGTAGTAGTTAAAGCAGATAATTAGGCATACAAAAATAGGTTGACAGGTTTGTAGGACAACTTTATTCCATCAAAACATATACATATATATAAAAATTACAAAATTTAAATGCACCTTCATTAAATGGAACAACTTAAGTAGAAATGATGTCTAAGCCTATTAGGAACTTTAAAAGAAAAATAAAAATACATGTACCGTAACTGAACTGTATTACAGAAGCAGTAAACTATAGCCTTACAAAATTCAGCATTCTGTATTGAACGATTGGTAAATAATTATGATTTACTGTACGGCCTTCATTTTCATATTTATAGCAACCAATCACGTTGTGTACTTAAACAAGTGGATAACTTGCTTGGCTTGCAATTCCGCATTGATTGTTTTTGTTTCTGGTCATTTTCACATATCCTTCATCACCCCAAGTTTTGCCCCAGCTGGAAAACAAAGAAAGAAAGATCACTGTAGAAGGAATTTCCTGTGACATCTATTACACCTCTTATCAAAACTACACACAATATACAGAAAACGTATTTTCTTCCCTTAACTGACATATAACACAAACAGTGAGGTTATAAATTGATAAATACTTGGACAAAATCGGTTACTAAACCTCCCTCCCGACATGTATATCAATTCCTAATTTATTTACCCCTCCCCCCCCACACACCCCAGATCAATTTTGTGGTGTCCGTGTTGCAGTCCCAGTAATGTCTAGTTCCATCGTTAAGCCCTGTACTGCCTCTTCAAGTCACAATGTAAAATTTACCCCACTCTGTGCTTATCATTTACTCCTGGCATTTATTTGAAAATACGTGGAAGCCAGATGAGACCTATCTTTGTGTTGTCCACAGATGTTACAATGAGTTAGCCTGAAGCAAAAGTTGAAGATGAATGAATGATGCTCAGTTAAAAGTAGTTTAAATACTTTTTTTTTTAAATCTCCATCCGTCAACATCGAAACCCTCGTATATCGTATGCTATCTCAATGAATAAATATCGTATAATTACCTGTTTTTCACTAGCCAGTAGTCGTGACCTTCCTTACTTGTACCATAACCTACAACCAAAACTCCGTGATCTAACTCCTCACTGCTACACTCGGGTTCATCATAAACACCTGAAACAACACCAGTAACAACTTTCATTAAACAACAACAAAATATCTGCCCATCAACTAGGGTAATGCTGAGATTCCATCTCTGGGTGTTTTACACGACAAACTGGGATATAGGTACCGAAATTCATACACAATCACTTTGGAAGTTAATAACTATATATATACCAATGTATAATACTGTTTATAAGCTACGAAATATTTAATGAATCAAAACAAGTTACACATTAGCACTAGTCGTCTCTCAATCGTCTTTCTCAAGTTTATCAATATTTGGTCTTTCTGACTGAAGATTTAATTGTTTACTATTTGTAAAGACATAATGGCCAAACATACATATATAAAATTATCAATTTAAAATCTTTCAATAAATTAGAAGTAACATCAAATATACATGAGTGGCATTCATTTATTGATTTGAAACTAAGGGAATTGTAGTAAATGGCCAAGTTCAAACATAACGTGTAGATTAATCAACATCTAAAAAACAATAGTATTTGTCCCTAGGTTCCGTTATTTAAATTAGGGTATTTTTTTTTGCAATTTTGAGTTTTAAGCCTAAGTAATATGGAATTTTTTTTTTAATTCTTCTTTCTTACGTGACTAGGTTTAACAGTTTTCTCTAATAAAATAAACCTATAGAAATACGTTGAGAACGATTGTTGGCTACCAGTGAAAGATCTGACCAACACCTTGTGGACGTTTCGTCCCCAATTTTACTTATCAACTTTTCTAGTGACTTACTTCAAGTTATAAATGATATATAATAAAAGTTCCTTACTTGACTATCCAATCTTAACATTGTGCTTTCTTAAAACAATCACAAAACTAACATGTGTACTACAGAAACTTTGTAGGAAAGTAAAAAATAATGTAAATTAGCAGTTAACTTACATTTACTGCTCTAGGGTCTAATTTCTTTTTTTTTTTAAATCACAACACACAAAATACAGATTGAGTAATCAACGTTCTAACAGTTTTAAGACATCACATACTTAAACATAAGTGCTACAGTTTTGAAACAGCTGTTAGTAAGATAAAAGGTTTATTTCAATACAACATTTTTTCTTTAACAGTGAGATAGGAACATGTACAAATGTCGATGTTTGATAATTTAAAAAAAAGTACCAACTGCCAAATATCTTGCTCGGGATAAAAGTAGTGATAGTACAAAAAAAAAAATTAAAAACATGAGGGAAAACAAGTTTTACCGTGAACAAAGTTTGACAACGAAATATGTAGAAATGTATATTTTAAAGACGGTCATATAAAAACTTATGATCAAACAAATTAATGTTTCCCCCTTTTTTTTTAAAGATTGCAATCCACAAACAATGTTGATTGTATGGGCAACCACGAATACGTTATATCAATGAAAACTTGTATAATGAGAAGGAAACTGGGTAGCAATAAACACCATATACAGACCCGAGGAATAAAACTGGAAAGATTCGTGGCTAGCATCAATAGCAACTGATATAGGCCCAACAGTGGCTAGACCTTCCTTTAGTTTCTCCTCGTCTCCTTTAGGTAAATCCACGTAACCAGTATCTGTAGCTCCGACTTTCTTCTGGGAAAACCTACATACATCATCCTAGCAACAAACAGTTATATTAATTCTTATTAATTTCTGATCCAAGCAAGCTAACTACATCTGTCACAATTAAAAAAATAACTTTAAAAACGATTTAGCTAACTCTAAACATCTGGTCTTGAAGTTACAATATCACTCGAAAACTGAAACACATACAGACACTGACTGAAATTGTGACTAAATCTTAACATCAAGAAAATCAAAACTATTTACGTCTGTATCATCAGAGCACTGGTGAGTTCATTGTTCAAACTTTGTCATATTTTAACAATCAGAGCACTGGTGAGTTCATTGTTCAAACTTTGTCATATTTTAACATTTTGAGAGAAAATGCACGTTCTTGAACAAGTTTATAAGTATTGTTACCTAAAGTTTTATCAATGTTTAAATCTTGCCATGTGTGGGTGCTTATGTTGTTTTAACTACAAGTTATCGGTCTTCGCATTGTATTACAAAGTTACCCGTACTTCCTTCATCAGAATAACCTCCCAACGTTTACCATGAACCCCAGATCCCAAACTCACACCATATAGACTATACAAGAGAAAATTCCTGGACTCTCAGATTCCGTCACGCAGGATTAAATGTGAATTTTCATTCAACAAATAGTCTTGCCATTGGCAATTGAAACAACTTCAGATATTGAAAGACACAAAATTCACAATCAAAATTTAAACAGAACCAATTCTGGTAAACAAGTTTTTGTAAATGTTTTTAATTAAACTGATTATTTCATGGGCACTTTTTTAATTAACATTGTGCACTTTTTGAAGACCACAATTTTTCCAAAATTTCCAGCACTTAATTTTGTTTTCAGCTCATTACCTAAAACTTGATTTGAAGAATCTGTATGAACAATATTTGTTACACAACTGCAAAACCTGATGTACGAGATATGAACGTTATAAATAATTTTGAAACAAAAGTTTTCACAGGAACTGACAAAGTTTCCAGTACAATTATCATCTCATGAATTACAAAAACAACAATGTACGAATTTAATTTCCACCTCTTTACAGAACTAAAATTCTAAATAAGTAACTTACTCAATTTATAAAAAACACTCAATCACTAATACATTTAGTGTTTAATATTTGTATCCAAACCTATCACAAGAAGGTTATTTTATTTTGTTCTTGTCATACGTGTTAAACCTGGAAAGTATCACTGTACAAAGTATTCTAACTGAGGCTTAGATGTATACTAACTGAAATATATGCCTAATAAATAAACACCTTAAAATACAATTATTTTTTTTTGTTTATATATATATATATACACACACACACACACACACACACACACAA